GTGCAGGGGGTGGGGGGCACACCTGCAGAAAGCTTGTACCCCCCAATCCTCCCCCGTGGGAGCTCCCAGGTGTGGGGCCACCCCTTCCCCATGGCATTGCCACCCCTATGGGTGCAGTGGGGTGGGCACTGGGATACCCCTCCTGTCCCCTACTCCTTAAGGGGGAGGGGGGAAGGGGGCTGGACCCCCCCCATCCCCCGGGGCAAAGCCACCCAGGGCCCTTTTTTTGCTACTTGCTCTTCTCTGTCCACTGCACCAGGATCTGAGGCCACCACGAGCCCTGAGCTGGGGAGATGCTGCCCTCGTGTCCCCCCCCGGCCAGGGAAGGAAGGCAGAGAAGATGCCAGCACTTCCAGGGTGTCCCTGCCCCCTGCCAGACTGTCTCCCCCCCGGTGGCAGGACCCCTGCCCCCCCACCACAACTATGCAAAGCTGCTTCTGCCCCAGGCTGCCCTCTCTGCCCCGGGAGGGGGGCACCAAGGTGGGACATGTCACCCAAACCCAACCCCTGTCCCCAGTGTGGCTGGGGATGCTCAAGGGGGGGTTTTGTACCCAGGGTGGTGGCAGTTGTACCCTCTGGCTGCTCCCCGGGGGGGGCAGAGGGGATGGGGGTCCCATCCAGTGCTGAATCTCAGCTGGGGGCTCCCCCCTGCCATGTTTGCCAGGGGTCTGGGGGGCACAGGGCATGAGGGGACATGTGGCCACAGCTGGCAGCGAGGTGGCCCTTTGCTGGCCAAGTCAGAGCCTGAGCCAGCACGGGGGGGACGGAGACCAAATAAAGGATTTTCCTCCTATTTCTGGTGTCTGGGTCATTGTCATCTGTCACCTGTGACCCCCCAGAGCCCGAGCTAGGAGATTTTTGGGTGCAAACCCCACAGCTGGGGACATGGCTGTGTCCTACCCAAAGGGTGGTGGTGTTGGCGGGTGCCCCCAAGTGACTCCAGTCCTCCCAGTGAGCAGGGGAGGGGAACCGGTATGGGTATGGGAGCTGTGGTTGTTTGTGCCCGTCCATCGTCACTGGGTGGGGGGAGGATTTGGGAGATGGAGGGGGCTCATCCCATCCCACCCCCCCCCACCCCTTTGTGTCCCCTCAGCTGTCCTGCCACCTCCTCTGTCTGTTGCTGCCTGGCCAGATCCTGGCTCCCAGCCCTGGGTGGGTGGAGGATGGAGTGACTCCAGTCCTCCCAGCAAGGAGAGGAGGGGAATGGAGAGGGGGGGTTCCATCCTGGAGGGTGAAGCAACAGGACATTGTCCCCTCCTGTCCCAGGGATGTCACCCTGTGGTGTCCCCCTCTCTGTGGGGTACATCCCCTTGCCTGGAGGAACTGGGGGGACTGTGGTCTGGTTTCCCTGACTCTGGATGAGTGTGGCCAGGCTCAACCAGGGGTCCGGGGATGGACCCTCTGTGGCCACATCCAGCCATCGCTGGGCACCCCAGGGATGGTCACGGGGAGGAGGGACGCGAACCCTCCCAGGGTGGAGGAGGAGGAGGAGGAGGATGCCAGGCTGGGTGTGTGCCACAGCCACCGTGCCCCCCGGCTCTGCCTTCCCCGAAACGGTGGTGGGGCTGAGCAGCAGGTCGGGGCAGGCAGGGCTCCGTGTCCCGCCGGCCCCGGGCACCCGGTGGCCCCGCTCCTCCCTCCTGCCCCGGGCTGGCCCAGCCCTGCGTGGGAACAAGGCTTGGGATGGTTTGTCTGTCTGCACCGTGGCTTCTCTGCCTCTGAGGTGGCTTCTCTGCCTGGAGAGTGGCTTGCCTGCCTACATGATGGCTTGTCTGCCTGCATGGTGGCTTCTCTGCTTGTGCGGTGGCTTGTCTGCCCTGCGTGGTGGCTTCTCTGTCTGCGTGGTGGCTTGCCTACCTGCATGGTGGCTTCTCTGCTTGCATGGTGGCTTCTCTGCTGTATGGCCACCCGCATGGTGGCTTGTCTGCCTGGATGGTGGCTTCTCTGCCTGTAGAGTGGCTTGCCTGCCTGTGTGATGGCTTCTCTACCTGCATGGTGGCTTGTCTGCCTGTGTGGTGGCTTGTCTGCCCTGCATAGTGGCTTCTCTGCATGGTGGCTTGTCTGCCTGGATGGTGGCTTCTCTGCATGGTGACTTCTCTGCCATGCAGTTGTTTGCCTGCCTGCATGGTGGCTTCTCTGCTTGTGCGGTGGCTTGTCTGTCTGCGTGGTGGTTTGTCTGCATGTATGGTGGCTTCTCTGCTGTATGGTCACTTGCCTGCCTGCATGGTGGCTTGTCTGCCTGCATGTGGCTTCTCTGCCTGTAGAGTGGCTTGCCTGTCTGTGTGGTGGCTTCTCTGCTTGTGTGGTGACTTGTCTGCCCTGCATGGTGGCTTGCCTGCCTGGATGGTGGCTTCTCTGCCATACAGTCGCTTGCCTGCCTGCGTGGTGGCTTCTCTGCATGGTTGTTTGCCTGCCTGCATGGTGGCTTCTCTGCCCGCATGGTGGCTTGTCTGCCTGTATGGTGACTTCTCTGCCATACAGTCGTTTGCCTGCCTGCATGGTGGCTTCTCTGCTGTACGGTCACTTGCCTGCCTGTGTGGTGGCTTGTCTGCGTGTATGGTGGCTTGCCTGCCAGTGTGGTGGCTTCTCTGCTTGTGCAGTGGCTCGTCTGCCCTGCGTGGTGGCTTCTCTGTCTGCGTGGTCACTTGCCTACCTGCATGGTGGCTTCTCTTCCTGCATGGTGGCTTCTCTTCCTGCATGGTGGCTTGCCTGCCTGCATGGTGGCTTCTCTGCTGTATGGTCACTTGCCTGCCTGTGTGGTGGCTTGTCTGCGTGTATGGTGGCTTGTCTGCCTGTACAGTGGCTTGTCTGCCCTGCATGGTGGCTTCTCTGCCTGCATGGTGGTTTCTCTGCTTGTGCGGTGGTTTATCTGCCTGGATGGTGACTTCTCTGCCTGTAGAGTGGCTTGCCTGCCAGTGTGGTGTCTTCTCTGCCTGCATGGTGGCTTCTCTGCATGGTGGCTTGCCTGCCTGTACAGTGGCTTGCCTGCCTGCATGGTGGCTTCTTTGTCTGCGTGGTGGCTTCTTTGTCTGCGTGGTGGCTTCTCTGTCTGTGTGGTGGCTTCTCTGCTTGCATGGTGGCTTCTCTGCTGTATGGTCACTTGCCTGCCTGCATGGTGGCTTGTCTGCATGTATGGTGGCTTGCCTGCCAGCATGGTGGCTTCTCTGCTTGTGCAGTGACTTGTCTGCCCTGCATGGTGGCTTCTCTGCTTGTGCAGTGGCTTGTCTGCCTGTGTGGTGGCTTCTCTGCTGTATGGTCACCTGCCTGCCTGTGTGGTGGCTTGTTTGCCTGGATGGTGGCTTGTCTGCCTCTAGAGTGGCTTACCTGCCTGCATGGTGGCTTCTCTGCCTGTACTGTGGCTTGCCTGCCAGTGTGGTGGCTTCTCTGCTTGTGCAGTGGCTTGTCTGCCTGGATGGTGGCTTCTCTGCCATACAGTCGCTTGCCTGCCTGTGTGGTGGCTTGTCTGCCCTGCACGGTGGCTTCTCTGCCTGGTGGCTTCTCTGCCTGCATGGTGGCTTGTCTGCCTGGAGAGTGGCTTGCCTGCCTGCATGGTGGCTTCTCTACTTGTGTGGTGGCTTGTCTGCATGGTGGCTTCTCTGCTGTACAGCCACTTGCCTGCCTGTGTGGTGGCTTGTCTGCGTGGTGGCTTGTCTGCCTCTAGAGTGGCTTACCTGCCTGCATGGTGGCTTCTCTACTTGTGTGGTGGCTTGTCTGCATGGTGGCTTCTCTGCCTGGATGGTGGCTTCTCTGCCTGGATGGTGACTTCTCTGCCTGTAGAGTGGCTTCTCTGTCTGCGTGGGGGCTTCTCTGCCTGCGTGGTGGCTTGTCTGCGTGGTGGCTTCTCTGCCTGGATGGTGACTTCTCTGCCATACAGTCGCTTGCCTGCCTGTGCAGCGGCTTCTCTGCGTGGGGGCTTCTCTGCCTGCATGGTGGCTTGCCTGCCTGTGCAGCGGCTTCTCTGCGTGGTGGCTTCTCTGCCTGCATGGTGGCTTGTCTGCCTGGATGGTGACTTCTCTGCCATACAGTCGCTTGCCTGCCTGTGTGGTGGCTTCTCTGCCTGCATGGTGGCTTCTCTGCTGTATGGTCACTTGCCTGCCTGTGTGGTGGCTTGTCTGCATGTATGGTGGCTTGCCCACCTGCATGGTGGCTTCTCAGTCTGCGTGGTGGCTTCCCTGCCTGCATGGTGATTTGCCAACACGGTGCCCCCTCTGCCTGCCCGGGACCCTGTGCCATCCTGTCCCCCACATCCCACCCTGGACCGACGTTTCCCAGCGGGGACCGCTGCGTCGCAGACCCAGGGGTGGCATCTCTGCCCCCCCCTCCCCCCCCGGCCCCTTTGGTCCG